CCATGCACCCCCTCACCTGCCAGCACCGCCCACCTTCAGGCGGCACCTGGCACCCCACCTGAGCTGGGCTGCCCAGGACCATGGTGCTCCCAAGCGCAGGGGAGGGGCAGGGATAGGGCTGCCGCACCCGGGGTGGCCTCGGGCGTCACGCATGCCTGAAGCCTCCCCATCACACTCCTGGGAGCCCGCTGTGTGCCAGGCCCTGGTCTAGACAAGACACCGCCCTTACAGCCCAGACTGGGGCTGCTCTCAGAGGCGGTCAAGACAGAGCGAGGACAAGGGGCATGAGGGGCTACACTAGATCCTCTGGGCATCCCACACCCGTGCCCGGTCGGGCCTGATTTAGAGAGTCTCCATGACACCCGGGCCAAGATGAGCTCCTAGGGTGGGCCCATCCCAGAAAGCTGGTGTCCCACGACGGGGCCTTCAGACATGGAGACTCGCACGGGGAGTCCACCGCGAGGTGTCAGGCTGGGAAGCCCAAGCATCGCTTGGAGCTACCAGAGCTTCAGAGGCAGGAGGGGTCTCCGGGGTCTTGGGGAGCGCGTTCCTGCCTCCCTGGACTCGGGCCCCAAGACTTCGGACTTCGGTCATCCTGAGCCACCCACCTGTGGTGCCCTGCTACAACAGCCCTCACGGGACAGGCGCTGCCAGGCAGGGTGGCCGTCAACACGGCGGGAGGCTGGGGCCTGGGCCCACCCCTGTGGATTCCAGACGGGGCTGGCTAGGACTACAGAGAGCAGGCTGGAGGCACTGCATGCTGGGGCCGGGGCTGGGGCCGGAGCAGGCCCACCTCAGAGCCCTGGGCAGTGCCACAGGCCTTCTCTGGAGGGCCCGGTGGATCCAGGATGATGGACCCAGATGACCTCAGGGCTTCGTGTTCATGACTGTCTACCCCGGGACACCTGGGGTGATGGGGGGGTTCCTCTAGACTGTGCTGGATCAGAGCCTCAGTCCTGAGTCCCAGGAGGCGGCAGGGCTCCCAGAGTAGAGACAAGCCCGGTGGGTTTAAAACCCAGGGTACTGGGCGCAGCCACCACGTGGAGGGAAGTCTCCGGGGAGAACGCCCTGCAGGCACCAAAGCGGCCAGACAGGGCGGCTCCGACACCGCTGGCTGCGGGCAGCGCGGGCTTGTGCCGCGGCCCGCGAAAAAACGCGGAGCCGACACCGAGCTCCCCTCCCCTCACATCCGGACCCCGAGGTCTGGCCCTGCGGGCACGAGCCTTGGGCACTCCACCAAGCAGTCCCTGCCCCACGACCAGGCAGCCCTTTCCCCCCCAGAGCCGTCCTACCTGGCCGCCTTCTCTCCGGCCTGCATGGTCAGGCCCGTGACCGCGGCACGGTGGTCCGTGAGCTGCTTGTTACAGGACATGCTGTGGGCGTTGATGATGTAGATGACGGAGTCCTCCGAGCCGACCCACACCTGGCTCTGCTCCGCCAACACCATGCAGTTCTGCGGCCACAGAGCAGGGGTCGGGCTCGCGCAGCTCCAAACGCGCAGTACTGACCGCCCGGCATGTCAGCCACCGTGTCCCTGTCCCGTGGGCACGACCCCGACCGCTAACCCTTATCGCCCTGTCTGTGGCATTGTCACCAAGCCCGCCCCGCCCGCCGTGTCCTTGTCCGGTGGCCATGCCCGCGGGCGCTACCCCCGCCCCGGCCGCCATGTCCCTGTCCTGTGCGCACAACCCCGAGCGCTAACCCTGACCCGGCCGCCGTGTCCCTCTCCCATGACAGCGGGCACTAACCCCGACCCGGCCGCCGTGTCCCTGTCCCGTGGGCACGACCCCGAGCGCTAACCCTTATCGCCCTGTCTGTGGCACTGTCCCTCAGGCCCAAATAAAACACGATTTCTCTAAGCTCCTGGCACCTCCAGCACTCCAGCACCAGCCTCGGGAACATCTTCAGTGGAAAATCACCAGTAAAAAGCACAAACGCACCGAAACGGCACAGCGGGCTAGGGAAGGGACTCGTGCCTGTGCGGGGCTGGGAGCACAGGGAGCGTCCCTCACGTCCTCCACCAGCCCCGCACAGCAGCCCGAGGACCGAGGACGCAGTGGTTCCCTCGGCACACACGTGTGGACAGCCAGGAAGCTGCACGAGATGCCACCGTGGGATCACAGGAAACTGAGCAGGCAGCTGAGGGTGTGAGACATCGTCACATGATGGGGGCGGCCGTGCTAACAGCCACGAGAACGTTCTCAGGGCCCTGGCTTAGCGGCCAACTGCCGGGGTTATTTTCAGACTTTCTGAAATCAGAAATCAAGAGTCTCAGGCCAGCAGGTGGCATTCTGGTTGAAGCACTGGACTCTCGCGTGGCTGACTGTAGTTCAAGTCCCAGAACAGGCGGCTTGCTTTTTCACTCTCCCTCTCCGACTCTGTCTGTCTCTCTCTCTCTGGTGAGCACATGCCCTATAGCAAGTTAAAAATAATAATAATAGGTAACATTAAATAATTCTTTTTTAAAAGAATTATTATATTTAATTTTATCTATTTACTTTTCATTTGACCAAAGAGGGACAGAGCAAAGGGGGGAGGGAGGGAGTGAGAAAACAAGCTGCCAGGTCCTGGACTCGAACTGCAGTCAGCCATGTGGGAGTCTAGCGTCCTAAAGCAACATGCCACCTGCTGGCCCCAGAATAACATAATTCTTAAAAAAAAAAAAAAAAAAAATTCAAGAATCCAGTGAGGACGGGTTATAAAAGTTACAGGAACACCTGACAGGCAGCTGTGTCCGTGGGCTCGTCCAACCAACCGGCTGTGTCACTAGGTAACGATCCTCCCTCCTTCCCGGAGGGTCCCTGAGCTGATGTCAAAGACTTTAGCCGGCTGCTCTGTTTTCCATTCCACGAGTACCGCGTCTCCACTCACAGCGTGTACACCCTCTTACTGGGACTGAACGAATGTCCCGGGTTTTCCAATGTAAATGCGATTCAGGGTATCAGTTACATGAATGCGGGTACCACGGAAAGCTCATAGAGAGCGTGTTTTATGAGAAAACTATGAGTCCGTTTGTAAATGCTTTGCACCAGAATGAACTCCTACATTAATTTCATTTTTCCATAGGAAAAAGTTGAAGATTAAATACCTCCCACTTACAAAACTGGATAGTGCTGTGGGATCACACACCCTACGGCACACACACCCTACAGATTCACACACGCTCCACGTGCACACACCCTGCGGCACACACACTCCACATGCACACACGCTCCACGTGCACACACCCTGCGGCACACACACTCCACATGCACACACGCTCCACGTGCACACACCCTGCGGCACACACACTCCACATGCACACACGCTCCACGTGCACACACCCTGCGGCACACACACTCCACATGCACACACGCTCCACGTGCACACACCCTGCGGCACACACACTCCACATGCACACACGCTCCACGTGCACACACCCTGCGGCACACACACTCCACATGCACACACGCTCCACGTGCACACACCCTGCGGCACACACACTCCACATGCACACACGCTCCACGTGCACACACCCTGCGGCACACACACTCCACATGCACACACGCTCCACGTGCACACACCCTGCGGCACACACACTCCACATGCACACACGCTCCACGTGCACACACCCTGCGGCACACACACTCCACATGCACACACGCTCCACGTGCACACACCCTGCGGCACACACACTCCACATGCACACACGCTCCACGTGCACACACCCTGCGGCACACACACTCCACATGCACACACGCTCCACGTGCACACACCCTGCGGCACACACACTCCACATGCACACACGCTCCACGTGCACACACCCTGCGGCACACACACTCCACATGCACACACGCTCCACGTGCACACACCCTGCGGCACACACACTCCACATGCACACACGCTCCACGTGCACACACCCTGCGGCACACACACTCCACATGCACACACGCTCCACGTGCACACACCCTGCGGCACACACACTCCACATGCACACACGCTCCACGTGCACACACCCTGCGGCACACACACTCCACATGCACACACGCTCCACGTGCACACACCCTGCGGCACACACACTCCACATGCACACACGCTCCACGTGCACACACCCTGCGGCACACACACTCCACATGCACACACGCTCCACGTGCACACACCCTGCGGCACACACACTCCACATGCACACACGCTCCACGTGCACACACCCTACAGCACACACACTCCAGGTGCACACACCCTACAGATTCACACACCCTACAGCACACACGCTCCAGGTGCACACACCCTGCGGCACACACACTCCACATGCACACACGCTCCACGTGCACACACCCTACAGCACACACACCCTATGGTACATATCCCTACGGCACACACACCCTACGGCACGCACACACTGACACACTCATGTTTAAATTCACAACTGAAGCTGGACGTGCACCCGGACCATCTGAACGTAGCTGCGCCATGTACTCACCAGCCTGGAGGTGCCCACCCTAATGCAGTGCTGGTGGGTGGTCCACGAGGAGGCATCAAACACGACCACTTTGCCCTCGCTCAGCGCACACCACAATTTGGGGTGAGCATCTTCAGTTTTTTCTGCTGGGTCGAGATGCCCTGAAGAGGAAAGCAAGCTAAGACGTTGGCGGGACCCTCTGCCATATCAGGCGCTGGCCTGTGCCCACTCGGGTGCCCATGGGACACCTGCTGAGTGCCCGGCACTGGGCCAGGAGTCGGAGAGGTGAAGGCGAGCACAGCCAGACGCTGCCCTGTCTCTTGGAGCTGAGCGTCTCATAAATAGCTGGCTCCACTCCGAGAACCAGGTGGCCAGACAGAGTGTGGGATGAGCCCTGAAGGGGCACAGCCCAGGGCTGCTTTGTGACCTGAGACCTGAAGGGCGACAGAGAACCCTCTAGAGAACACACACAATACCCCTGCCCCCGATGGTGAGGACCATGCTCCACTCCACCCACTGTGAGGCCACTGTGGCCATGGTCAGGAGCAGCACGTGGCCAGTCTGTCCAGTGGTCTCGTGGCCCCTTGGTAAGACGCTGCCCCATGAGCCCCATCAGGGTCGAGCTGGGTCACCTGCAGAGCCCATGGGCTAGTGCGCCTAGTTCCTGGGGTAACCCTAGCCCCTGGGGGTCCCAGATTGAAGCAAAGGGGTTTCCCAGGACTCTCCCTCCGAGCTGCTGTGCCCAGAGCACACAGGCAGCCAATGCTCAGTTCACCCACAAGAAGTGGCACCCACGGGCACGATCTGCCACCCTCATCCACCCCCCCATGGTGCCTTCAGCGGGCAGGAGTCTGAACTAGCCCCGCAGGATGGGAGCCCAGGCCCAGGCAGTGACAATAAGGGAACCTAACTTGGACCCGCAGCATGCCTGTACGCAGACACGTGACGGAAACACCTTAAGGCCACCGTCTAGACGAGGCACTGGAGAGCCTCGAGTGAGACGGCGCCCAGCTAGCGCGGTTCCCTTCTGCACATCATCCACCACTTTCCTTTTTTTTTAAGTATTTACTTCTTCCATGAGCAAGAGAGACAGAGAGGAGAGAGACCCCTGACAAGGTCCTAGTGCCACGATCCACCCCAGCCTTCAGCCAGCCCCAGACCAAGGGCATACACGTGCCCCATGCCCAGGGAGGCCCCGTACTTGAACCAGGAGCCTTCCCCTGGCACTGCCGCTCGGAGCTCTGTACCCTGCCGCTGCGCTCACATCTGGACACTTCCCTGGGCTTTCCCGACGGAAGCCTGCTGCTTTTCTTGCAGAGACGAAAGCTCCCCGCGTGGGGACCGCTCAGCAGAGCCCCGTCTACACAGGCACTGTGAGCCCCCATGACCACGCACACGTGCAAGAGTGTGGGCGATGCTCCGAGCACCTCAGACACGGCCAGACGCGCAGTCACTGGGCTTGGCCCCATCAGAATGGCTAAGGGTGGGTTTGCGTCTCAGCCCTCAGACGGAGCTTTGCCTCCTCCGGTTCGACTCGCCCGGTTCTCTCCTGGCCTCGTTGCCAGCGCTCCCGGCAGGGACACGCCTGAGGGAACACCACACTCCAAACACTGAGAACCCGTGTGACTGTCCACTGGGGCCAGAAAGCTCGTGCTCGGCCCAGTTTCTATGACAAGGGCATGTGAGGTGCCATTGCCCATCGCGGTGACGCCACGGAAGTGCTGTGAGAAGTGCTGTGCGGGGTCGGCTGCACCTCTGCAGCAGGAGGGGTGGCCACAGCCACGCACCTGCCACAGCTCCACTTCGTCCCCACCCCGGGAGTGCCTCCGCTCACTCAGAGCTGACCTCGAACCCAACTCTACCCCACGTTCTCAGACGGCGTCGCGCACACCAGAGCGGAGCCCCTCACCTGGGGTGTACAGCAGCACGTCCACGGCCAGGGGGAAGGCCTCTCCGGCCGAAGGGTTGATTTTGTGCTTCAGTGTCTCCGAGGTCGTCTTGGGAACCGCCATGGGCACTGAAACACAGGCGCCGGAGCCGAGACTTCGGGGGGACGGCCAGCCACGCCGACACTCCACTTTCTTCAGGGGCGAGTTAGGGTGGACCTCCCCACGGAGCCGGGCCACAGCCCCGCCCTCCTCTGGCTCACGCCTCCCCGGACGCCGGTGTCTCTGAGAGTGAGGCCGGATGGCTGCAGCTCCAACACCACGCGTGGTCACCTCCCCAGCCGCCCGACACGCTGGTCCTCATCTGCACACACACTGGCTTACAGTCACAAGGTCTCTCACACACGCAGTCTCACACACACACACACAGTCACAGTCATAGTCACACAGCCATACAGTCACACGGTCTCACACACACGCACTCACACACACACAGTCACACACACACACAGTCACAGTCATAGTCACACAGCCATACAGTCACACGGTCTCACACACACGCACTCACACACACACAGTCACACACACACACAGTCACAGTCATAGTCACACAGCCATACAGTCACACGGTCTCACACACACGCACTCACACACACACAGTCACAGTCATAGTCACACGGTCTCACACACACGCAGTCACACACGCAGTCACAGTCATAGTCACACAGTCATACGGTCACACAGTCACACACACGCAGTCACACACACACAGTCATAGTCACAGTCACACGGTCTCACACACACGCACTCACACACACACAGTCACAGTCATAGTCACACAGTCATACAGTCACACGGTCTCACACACACACACAGTCACACAGTCACAGTCATAGTCACACGGTCTCACACACACGCAGTCACACACGCAGTCACACTCAGTCACATTGTCATACAGTCACACACATGCAGTCACACACAGTCACAGTCACAGTCATAGTCACACAGTCACACTCAGTCACACGGTCTCACACAGCCTCACACACATGCAGTCACACACACAGTCACACACAGTCACACTCTCAGACACAGTCACACAGTCATACAGTCACACGGTCTCACACACAGACACACACACGCAGCCACACAGTCACACACGCACATGCCTTTACTCCAATACTTAAAATCCTCTGCAAAAATAAACATACAACCTTGAACCACCGCAACCTGGGCATGATTTTCAGAAGGTGACAGCCCAACAGGAAGGAGAGGAAGAATTCCTGTCTGGGGAAACTGACCAAATTGAAGAAAGAAAATAGATTCCGACACTGGGGCGTCCCTCACTCCTGCAGCATCAGCCCCCGCCACGCAGAGGCCGTGGGCTCCGGGGTACCCCGACCGCAAGCCCAGAAGCCGGCTCCCATGCAGAGCCCTCTGCCCAGCCCTGCCCGGCGCACGCCTGCATGTGCCACAGCCCGAAGAGCAGCGCTGTCGTCAAGGGGGCCTCGGTGTGTCCGGAGGAGCCAAGGACAGGGAAGAGGGACACCGCAGAGCAGCCCCTGGCAGTTGAACATGTAAGAGGGTGAAAAGAACCCAGGACTCTGGGACTGGTGCTCATCGACCAGATAAAACCGCACACGCCATGCACGCCCCGGGCCACGTGCCACGTCACACACACGTCTTACTCTCGCTCTTCAGTTTGTCAAAGTAGGATAACTTGGAGGCGGCGAAGATGGCGCCTGGCGACTGCAGGGTGCTGACGACAGCGTCCATCAACAGAACGTTGGTCAGGGCTTGCTGGATGTACTGAGGGTCCTGGGGAGAGGAGCACACGGTCACACGCGGTAGTCCCTGAGGGCACGTGGCATGAGGCTGTGTCGTGGCAGAAAACGACACTCCTTCTGAGGGCACGCGCGCTCACAGGAGGGGCGGGAGACAGGGAGACGGAGGGAGCACGCCTGGCAGAATGGTGAGGCTGCAGTTCCTTCTCCACCCTCTCCACCCTGCAGGGATCTGGGCATGCACACATGCGCCTGGTGTGCTTCCCCAGCTGCCAGGGCCAGAGTACGAGTCGTGGCCAGCCATGCAGGGCACAGCTCCCTCACCCAGGCCGCAGGGCCAGCCCAAACACTTCTAACTGGTTTTGTTTGTTTGTTTGTTTTTGAGTTTTTTTTGAGAGAGGTTTTTACTATAGGGCACATGAATTTGCCAGAAAAGCAGAGAGAGACAGAGAGACAGAAAGCGAGAAATCACCCCCCGGATGGATGGCCACGCCGCAATCCCTTCTCCTCCATTCTCCTCTCGGGATCTTGGGCACGCACACACATGCGCCCAGCATGAGTTTAAGCCACCAGGTCTGGAACTTGAACCGTGGTCAACTACATGGGAGTCCAGCGCCATAGGTATTACACCAACTGCTGGCCCCATTAACTGCATTTTTTCAAAGCAACATTAAGACGTCAAACAAATGATGACTCTGGGTTTACGTCAGGTCTTCCCCTTCCTCTTGGTTAGGGCAAATACTGATGTTTATCTGGGGCCAGCAGAGCTCTACCCAGGGCTCCATGGCTGCAGGGTCTCGGTGATGCCAACTCCGCTCTGCCGTGTGGCACAGGGCAGCCCTGGATGGCATGTGAACTAGCAGGCATGGGCACAACTGCAGCCCCGGAGCTGCTCATGGAGCCGCCCACCAGCCCGCGGGCTCGGCGCGACCCTGCAGGTGTGGGTAAGTAAATCAGCAGCTCATCTAACACTCTGAGAATACTGGAGTCCGCTCCGAGGACTGGGAACCTCTCTGGTCACCGGCAGCTTGGTGGCCCCCGGGTGGCAGAGAAGGCTAAAGGGACTCACCACGCCCCCGCGAACTGCTAACCTGAGGTGAGAGGCGCTAGAGCAGGGTGTGCCCAGGACGTGCAGCTCGGACCTGCCAGAGGGACGCTGTGAGGCGCAGGGCACTGGTCACCCCACCGTGGCCCTGTCTGGGCAGCACGGCTCTCTCAGCTGCCATGCGGCCTCGTGGCCTTCTTGCCAAGACCTTGTCCCACTCGACCTCCTCCCCCGCAAGGACAGGAGCGCCGAGCTCTGAGCGCGTTAGGGAGGGGTGCGGCCCCTGGCCGGCTGGTGCCAGGCGGGTGGCGGTCCCAGACCTTGTGCTCGTCGGCCAGCTTCTTCCCAGCACACATCTCCTTCACCATGAGGTGCCAGAGGTCGCACTCCGCTTTGAGGTTGGCCTCGAAGACGTCTTTCTTGGACCCCGTTCTGATTTTCAGGGTGGGTATCCTCAGAAGCAGGAAGGTGGCGGTGGTCACGCTTCTGACTTCCTGCAGAGAGGCCGAGGAGCAGGGATGACGTGGCGTCACAGCCCCCGGCATCTGGGGCAGTGAGAGGACGAGCAGGGGTGCTCTGGAACGTGGGAACAGCAGGTCTGACACCCCTGCGCCCCGCCAGCATACGCTCAAGGCAGCCGTGGGCTCTGCCTTCCAGGAGGTGGGCAATGTGTTAGGAGTGACCCTCACGGCCCGCCCGCACGGCCTGCCAGGGTCAACAGGTGGGGCGACCTCCGTCTTTAACTCTGCCTCTCCCCGGGGCTCTAGGGGGAGCCAGGCAGCAGGCTGGGACAGGGAACACCGACATGCCTGTCACCACCCCTCGTCCTCTCAGACGGGAAAACAAACAAGGCTCAGGACAGGTGGGGGCACCAGGCGGGCTCTGGCAACAAGGACAGCCACGTCTGAATCCACCACGCCCACTGCGGGAATGAGGGGCCTGGCCAGGGCCACGTGGACGTGAGGCCGGGGCTGAGACGCTGGCATGGGTGGCTCTGGAGCTGAAGGCGTCTACCCCGCCGCCCTGCCCGGTGAGGTTGCCCGCGGTGCGCCTTGCAGGTCGTATGAGACAGTAGGGACAGATACCTCCCACGCCAAGCACGGTGCATTCGCTCCGCACACCTCCCAGGAGGGACTGCCATCACCCCGTGTCATGGCGAGTACCTGAACCGGCACGTGGCACGGGCCGAGTCCAGTGGTCATCCCCGCCACGCCGCCCCAGGACAGGAGACCCGTACCTCTATGTTTCTGAAGGTGGAGATCTCCACGTAGCCTGGTCTCCCTTCCGTGAGGAGGAAGAGGCGCTTCTGAGTCATGGCGATCTTGCCCACGCCCCGGTTGGTCTTGACGGAGCTCGACAGCTTGTACACGTACTCGTTCCTATCCAGGTGCTCCACCGCCAGCGAAGGCAGGCTGACCTCCTGGGCCTCGGCTTCCGTCTCCTTCCAGCAGTTGTAGAACTCCTTGAATGTTTCTGGGTCGATCTGTTTCTGCTGTCCTGAGTTTTATGAGAGATTTCTTAACGGCCACGTACACAGGACCGGCAGTTACTCCTGCAACACCTCCCGGAACTGCTCGTCCCCCCACAGGCAGCAGGTGGCGCCAGCACCCAGCCCTGTCCCCATGGAAACCCTGGCAGCCCAGGGTCTGGGGAGACATGGGTCTAGGCAGAGCCCATGGGCCCAGGAATGGGCATGTGATCCACGCCAGGTGGTCAGTTACTCTTAGGACGGGGGGAGGAGGGGACATTGGGACAAGGACCCTTCCTACAGTGGCGAAGACCTCAGTGGGCACTGGGACCCCTGTGAAGGGAGCAGGAGCCCCCACACCACGGGGCTCCCTGTCTGCACAGCCCTCAGCTGCTCAGGGTCGGCCTCTCACATTCCAGTCCCAGCCGGTGCACACACTCATCCTCCGGGCCCGGCCCGGCGGCCCCTGCTCCCCCTTGATGCCGGGTAAACACGACACGTGTGATTCCCCTGCGGCACCACCGCACCCGGCAACACCCACGGCACCATCTACATGGGAGGCGCTCAGTCCGCGCAACCACCGAAAGAGGCACGAACACCATCAGGCTCTCTAACAAACGGGGAAACAGAGGCACAGAGGCATGCCTCTTGCGGGCAGGGCAGGGCCCAGTCCAGGGAGACACCGCCTCCCCCCACGGTGCCCACGAGGGTCAGCCTTCCTTGCTGGTCCTGCTCAGGGGCGGGGAACAGGACGTACCCTCCCGTCCCCAGTGGGCTGGGTCCCTGAGATGAGGCATAACGTGGCTATCGTCCCAGCTCAGCCACCCTCCCTGCTGTGGCCTCTGGGGGCATCTCCGTCTGCACACCCGTCCCCAGGGCTCCGAGGGTGTGGGTGTGAATTGAAGCACTTGCTACTTTTATCAGACGTGATGCAAGATGATTGCTGGTAAGGAGCTCAGCAAGGGAACGTCCAAGAGGCAGGACAGGGGCGTGAGGAGGCCCTGGAGAGCCGTAGGGTTGCAGAATGGCAGTGTTCCGGGGCCCACAAGCCAGTCCGTGCATCCTCAGGCTAAAGCGCCCCGCAGGCGGG